CTGCCTTTCTTTTAAGGCTTCATCCCCATATACGGCACATAACTTCTTTTGTGGTTGCGATGCGTTCTTGCCTTTTCGGAAGTAATACAATAAAATGTGTCGGAAGTGCACGTCCTGTTCTTTCATTTTTAAATTGGGATAAAAACAAAACTAAAGAACTAAACAAAAAAAATTTTCTACTTATTAACCTAGAAGCCCATACAGTAAAAAAAATATAGGTTAGATGCTCTGGCCACGTTAACAAGACAAAAGAAAGTATAGAGTGAATCCGTCAACAAAAACGGCAATGACTTAGTTGCCAACCCAATACTATAACAAATATTACAATAACTAAGAACACTTGAAAACATGTTCAGATATAGATAAATATTGATATCAAATTCTCATCTTATCCAATATCTAATGCATTTTATAAATATTTTCCACCAATATTTATATTTACGTATGACTTCAAAGGGGAAGCGCGTGGGGAAACATTAGCTAATGGTCTACACGATAAATAACACGAAACAGCAAATTTTGGCAAAATATACAATTAAGCCTTGAGAAAGCAATTTGTCACCACTTCACATATGACGAAATCAATGCAAAAGGATCGAACACCGACGCCCACAAAAAAGAATTAGATTCCGGTTAATTCAGAATGCGAGATTCAATACTTCATTTTATATTCAATTTTATACTCATACATGTATATATAAATTGGGATGGTTTTCGGGGGGTATATAAAATCATCTGACCATACAAGTGAATTGAGTTATTGCTTGAAAATGCAGAACTGGTCTACAAAACATCCCCAGTGATGTTTCATTTATAACTTTGGAAAGCTCATAAAGCCAAGAGTAATTCAAAAATAAATTAAGTAGGAATCAAGAACCTACAACGATATCGTCCGTATTCTTGACTTTCAAATCCCGTGTGGCCGGATCGAGAGCTTCAAACGACCCAAAGTGGTTTTGGAATGGCAGTAGAGATACAATAACGGACATTGCCTGCGTGCGTAAAGCCTAGAGGATATAGCAACAAACTAATTAGAAAAAATTTCATTTATCATATATTCAAGAAGACTAAAGAGCTAGGAAATTTGGCACCTCATTCTGAATTGCAGATGAGGAAAGTATCTCGTCAGCAGCTTGAATGAAGTCCAGAACAAGCAGATTGCTTCCAGGCAACGAGTAGCTGAACAGGCGTCCACAGTCGGATCGAATCACCTCACTTGCAAAGTTCTGGCAAAATTAAAGATCTACTAACCACCATCATGGGACAACTAGAGCACTATTTTAACACCAGAGGGACTTACATAGGATTTGTCAGTAAGTAGAATATGCAAGATGCGATAAAACTGGGCGAGCATTTCTCCACTTGGTTCAACATCCCGATGTGTAATAAGGGTCTTCTTCAATATACTTATTACAACTTTCTTTGCTTCTACATATTCATTCGGCGAGTGGAGCACCTTCAAATAGACGGGAACGAGGTAATCCAGGGGTGGCTGGTTAGAGGGCGGTTTGACAGCTCCATTTTTTGTCACCACAAGAGCTTGATACGCATCAATGGCAAGAAGGGAATTGGTAAGTGAGTCTAGATAGCTGAATACCTCGGCCATAGCAATGGGATTTGAGAGTTGGCTAAAATCACCTAGCAGACCGAGGAAGCGTCGCCAACAGACGACTGTCGAATCGATATTCCAACCAAGCTCTTTACCGCCTGCAAGAACACTGTTTCCTCGAGAATAATCTTGCAGGGGCTTGGTTAGCGTGGAAGATTGTGAACTAACTGTAAATCGAAAGATGTGCTATTAAGTAAGTAAAAAGAATTACTTCTACTAAAAAGTGCGACTTACACTCTCGATTAGTCGTTCTTGTTAATGTACTGTCAGACACCATAGGAACTACAAGAAAAATCTGAATGACATGAAATCAGCATATTATGCCTGATCTAAGTTAACAAAGTAGATTTTACAATTTCACTTATTTTCGCATTCATGCTTCTAGTATTCCAATGCAAACCCCACTGCTACAAGCCGCCCGTTACTCGGTAGCCACAAAGGGGACGTTAACGATAACTTGAACTTAGTAAACACTTGAAAACTGTAGAAGTTTCAATCAAGGGTGCTTGGCAATCACAAACTATAAGAAATCTGGTTTAGATGAAGTTTCAATCACGAGGAAAAACAGTAATCTTCAAACTATGGTCAGGTACAAAACGTCATTTGAAACAATTAATCCAGATAGAATAGTGCGACATTATAAATTGTAATTCCTTTATACCCAGATTTACACAAATTAGACAGCAACTAGAAAATATGCAGTCCAAGTGTAGGCGTAGACTCAGGTTCATGAGTGTATTTTATTCGACCAACGAGATAGTAATTTTAGTTTCTGTTCGATCATGTTGATCTTCTTTTTCGAGCATATATTCTGAATTCCTTACTTTGACCGACAAATCTTTTAGATTCTTTTCACTAAATCCTGTTTCCATAAATTCTCTGTAGCCCCATGGTGATTTGGCTTTCTTGAGGAAAATTGCATCGACACTTTTCTAACTTCTACTGTGAATTGTAGGAGACTAACTTGTTCCAACCGGCAGTCTTGCCCCATATTCTAACATGCACGAATTGCAATGAAATCACTTACCCTCACCACCCGACAGTTTATTCAACGGCGGATTTGAGGCTACATTTTCTGTGATAAAAAGAGGGAATCTTGAGTCAATGGAAGAGTTAAAAACACCGGATACATTTTCCAAAACGAACCTGTAAGCCGATTCATTTGAGGAACCTACAAACAACAAAAAAGAAAAAAATATGCATAAAGGAATAAATGGTAAAGCATTCAACACGTTATGCAAAAAACAAGATGTGCAGATTGTGTGCGTCAGGATATGAGGTACTCAAAGATCAAGGAACCGAATGATATTGAAAATTATAAAAATCACTCGCTGCAGTTATGGTATTAGTAAGTGTAGGAGTTGGTGTGAAGATGACAATGACAAAAGGAAGAGGAGCGTGGAAGATTACCTCTACCGCTGAAAATGAGGACTCATAACAATCTGACGTAGAGAAATCGTCACTTTGAGTGTACCTAGTACGGAAACCCATAGCTTTGCGCCCACGATCACTCCTCAATATGATCTTATGATTTTGCTTGTGCTGTCGGTGAAGCCGCGAGAGCTACATATATAAGAACGGAGGAGTTCCCAAATGAAAGAATTTGCCGGAGAATAGCACGGCATATACCCAGTCAATAAAAAAGGAAATTGAGCAGCGATAGGGAAAACATACCTTTTTGTGCCTCCCCAAAGGAGGTTCATTATCAGCCCCGTTAGTTGAAAAGGGAGTTGGAGGACCATTATCACACTCAGAGACGTAGCCGGAAGCAAGAATCTCCGATGGTGTAAACAAAAAGTGATGATTTATCAACTTGGCGCTTTCGTTGTTCGATCCGAGAGAGGAGGGAAGGGCCACTCCTTCATCCTCCTCTTTGGCTGTACCACCAGTTCTCTGACTATCGATTAAGAGGGACTCTTTTTTCTGAATCTACACGATAAAAGAGTTAAGAGTGATGAGTCTGTTATATAAAACATAATAGTAGGTAGTATTTCAATAATTAGTACATATGAAACAAAGTAGCGAATAAGACACACTGCGATGCTATAGGTGATTCAATAATATCTCCTAAATCATTGATTTTTCAGATGTATGCATTATTACGTCTCCACGAAATTGAAGAGAGATGTTAACTAGCATTCCCATAAAAATTTCGGCAAGACAAGGCCAGTTAAGCTACAATATATCGGAATGCAATCCCCAATTGTGGCATTAGGTGAATTTCGACCTATCTTCAAATTATTTTAAAAAAGATCCATGTTGCAGGCTCATAAGAAAATCCATATATTCTCCAACCTAAGCTAAGTAAGAAATGCACACAAATGAAAACATTAGCAACTATAACAGATAATATGTGATTTTGTTGCCTGTTCCAAGATAGAGTAACCACAACTTTTGCTCGACTTTATTTTATTCTAGGAAAGCACTATTACCGCACATCTTATACGTACAACAGTCGTGGATTCGAGATAGACCATCATCCACCTTCGCTTGTTTGGGTAAATAAAGTCGTGTTAATTAGCACATGTTGCCATGCTTTCATCTCGTCGTCTAGAATAAAGTGAGAAGTATTTAACTCCTTTCCGAAGAACTATTTGTGAGCCTGAATCCATACAGCAGGTCAATATTAGTAATAAAGGTTAAAACACCACTACATTCTTAACTTAAAGTAATTCATCAAGAAGGAAAGACAGAAACCACAATTACACCTATAACCGCGGTCAATCTTCTCTTAGTACATTAATCACAGATAATTAAAATTATCAATACAGAAAGTGACCTACATCGAAGTCGACATCACTGCCGCCACAATCGAAGGAGTCACGAACTTCCACGCCATCAGTAGCACTCAAACATTCAGCTCCACCATCAGAACTGACCCCATCAGCTTCATCTGAACCCAGGGCGAGACCGAATTCCATTCCTGAATTCGATTCATTGAAACCCGGAGACTCGAGAGCACTCACTCGTGGTTTGTCGGGAATTCGCAAATGTAGACTAGTAGTGAGACCAACCATAGCCCTGTCTGAGTGGGTATGAGAAATATGAGAAACAAACAAAATGTGGAAAAGAAATAGATAGGTTATAGGAACTCACTGTCACCTGAGCAAGGCCTTTCTCTAAGAGTGGCCAGACGAGATGCACCACAGGGTTGAGAAGCCATTCCCGCTTTGCCTGGAATTTAAAAGTATAAGTTACTAAAATGTTCGTGTGATGGACACATGAATCAATAGTAGATGAAATGGAACAGGATAATTTCATTTAAGTAATGCAATGAAGTGGAACGCATGAAACTGGAGAAAATCAATGTATTAACCACTGGGTTTACACGACCTTCTATGGGAATTGAACTTAGAAATGGGCTAACTTTGGCGCCAAATCAATCTAAGAGCATTTAAATCCGTATAACATGGTTCATTTCTTAATAAATCCGACGCTGGGCTAAAGGCTCTTTTGTCTTCTATTCATTTCACCGGATCCAGAAAAATATATTACTCCAGCGGTATTGCTGGCATATTTGAAATCAATAACTAAGCACATAAAAAAGTCATTCCAAGGACGTTTCTAAAATATTTAAAATCATAGTTCGTTAAAGAAAATAGCCTCAAATTTACTATTTTCTCAATTTCAAATTCAATGAAGCAATAAAAAAAACTATAGAAGCCAAGTAGCCAAGAGAAAATAAGTGAGCCATAGAGAAAGCAAGTCACGCGATAAAGAGAAAGTGATCAATATTAACACGCCTAAGAGGTCTGCAGATATATAGGAGAGGCAATCACTATTAAGATTATATATTTGGTAGGCTGACAGAGTAGTTAAAATTCTTATTAACTATTTTTACCAAACAAACATATTGAAGGTCTAGAAGCAACTGCCAACCATTCGTTCATTCGTTAGAATTACATCAACAATCCCGATGCATTAAGAGTATTGCAAATTTTTCAACATAAAACTTTTGAGAACATGGATATTAAATTCTAAATGAAGTAAGCGAATATCCGAAAATAGCAAAAAAATGCCAGAAAATGTCGTTCTATCTAAAAAGGGACTAAAATATGGCAAAGGCCAGTTTCATAACTAAGAGCACACCGATAATGTTGTCATAGCCCCAATAAAATTTAAAAATACCGATCATAACTGCATGGCGTAGGAAGGAATATAAACTCTAAGTAATAACTAATAGAATAAAGTTGAAAAGAGCAAATTCAACGAGATTCATAGAGAAATCGACAAAATTCTGTACAACGAAAATCTCAATCAAGCAATGTGATAGATTCTTCAAATGTAATCATACAGGTCCAAAAAGAAGCGTGGCGCGTTTAAGCGCAGTTAAATTCGGTGTACACCTCTCACGTTAATAGCTGATATTTGGCCTTTCGCCAATTCTCTTTGCCCCCCCCCCCACACACACACACACATTATTGAATGAAAAGGAACTATTCAAAATTTTTCATTGCGGTGCTACTGCTACTTCAGTGGAGGAAAAATGGGAGCAGAGCCATTTGCGAGAGCAAAATCACAGCAAACCATCGGATTTCACGAGCAATCTCTTATTTCGGAGTAAGAAGAGAAGAAACTTGTTCTTACGATTCAGAATGCGAGATAGCAGATACAAAGTCAAAAAGAGAAACTTATTCTCAACAAGTGCATCGACAACAGAGTATGAGGTTTGCAAGCTTTAAACTCTGCTTGAAGAGATAACCGTGCAGCCCAATACAACGTACACGAAATCATAAAGAGGAGATGTAGGAATCAGAATGTGCTTGATCGAAACAAAACACGAATGCTGGGAATCTGTTCATTGAATAGTAACAATATACAGAAATAGAGTTCATAGATCTGATTTTCAAAGATCCACTTTATACTATTGTTAGATTCTACGTTCATGTTTATGAACAGAATTTCACCTTTCTGTAAGATAAGTTAACTGGGTAATCAATTATCTATAATCTATATCAATCTAAATAAGCAACCCCACTTTTCAAGTAGAAATTAAATTGGTGGAATTAAAGACTTTTGTCATTTCTTTACTGCAGTCATATTGCATGACCCATATCTTTATATTACTAAAAAGGGAGTGTGCGATAGACTTACCTCCACGTGGTGCACCCTGGGTAACGTATACTCATACGGCAAAAAGTCTATAAACCGGCAGTTGACTTCTGACTTCAAACTACCATGACCTCACTGTATGCCATAGTCGACAACTTCAACAATATTCACCTTACCCTATACTCTCTATCATAGTGCCTGTCTCTTTTATATCTGCAAATCACTCATCGGTCCACCCTCTTGAACTTTGATGTTTCTCCCCTCTGTGAAATCTAAAGTCAGGTAAGAGCTAATGATAACTATCAAATGCCTGCCATTCGAAATAAATAAATATTACAAAAAAGACATCCCACAAATTTCAAAATTTTTAGGATCCTTTACATTTCAGTTATGACTGCACGATTAAATGAATAAACCCAGGTTAATTAGTAGACTCCACATTTCGCAAATCAAAGAAAGGTTAATAAACCCAACCCACGTCTTCCTCTATTAGTTTTCGATTCATCAGAAAGATCACTGAGGTCCACACCAAAGGCAATTTTGCCCAACTGCAGGGTGAGAAGATCCATAGTTTTCTACAGTTGGGTGAAAAAAAAATAGAATTCAGAATCATTTGTTACAAAAATCGAGCATAAACTACTTGTCAAATAACAGTAGTACCTTCCACTCTTTAAAAAGTGCAGGACAATCGGGTAGACGAGAGTAGACACTCAAGCATTTGTCCCAGGTAGTTGAAGAAATAGGCGTGGCCAGGGTTGCATAAATACAGGAAGTGTTGAGAGTCTACGAAACGGAAGAGGTTGTCAAAATGCAATCAATAGAACTACAGTGCATCAATAGGCTATATAGAAAAATATAAATTGAAGTGGTATTTCACCGCTAACAAAACACTATCACGTCCCGCTTCGTTGACGGAACAAAGTTTATTTGAAACTGTTGACTTAAAACAGTCCGTGCAGTAACTATATTGAAGGTTTGCGGTTCCCACGATAAACAAATGTGAAGTAAAAGCACAGGAGAATTTGATCTACATAGTCGAGTATTTTCACTAACTCATTGGTTCGTTCAGATTAGGAAGTACTACTGACATTTTTGCTGTAGTCAGGTATTTGCCAAGTTTATACGTCTCTGTATCAGCCAATACTGAAAACTGAATACCTCAAAAGCTCTAAAAAAGTAGACTGGTATTGTGATAAAGATCAGAATCGGCGATAACACTTCGATATAAGGCTTCAAACCACTGTCTTTCCTTTACAAATTGAAGTATTGTGTTTGTGGAGTAGTAGTAGTGGAAACATTAGGTTTCATTATTCGCTTGCCAAAACCCATGAGATTCGGTTTGGTACTTTAGGAAATGAGAAAGTGTTCTGTTTGAATGCTTTAACCAAAGTAATCTAGTCAAAGTAAGAACCCACTTACTATCATGAGAGTTAATAACTTAACTTCCCTTTTAACCAAATAAGTCTTGCACCCAATCATGTCTAACAGCGCACAACTTAATCTCGCATAAGTATATTCGGTCCTATCTGATAAAAAATGGTAGGATCAAGCAGAGCCGACACTCACCTGGAACATTTTGCCGAGCAATTTGTCATTCGACACCCAATGGGAATCAAAGTTGTCCGTTTGGTAGATTTTGGACATCACCTCAGAGATGATATGCATGAGAGTGAAGAGCAATTTCTCCCTAAAAGTAAATAGTATGAAAGAAGCTAAACATACAATAGAAAATAGGTAACTTTTTCAAATCAAGGTAGCAAAAAATGCACTATTGTCTCACGAAAATAGAAATATAGGGGAAATATGCACGATGTGAATGACTTACCAGCTTTCGGTATTCAGCTCATTTAGCTGGGTGAGCGGCTGAATTATGGTGCTCAAGATTTGGGTACATAAATTGATCTGTTGACCCACAAAGTTTACCATCACCATTTGCATCCTGTCCGTCAACTCCAGATCCTCTTCTTTGACTGGCGGACAGGTGCGAAGAAAGATGTGTGCGAGATTTGTGAACATTGTCTGGAAAAAATTAACATATTTAGAGGGTCTCGGACCATGCCCACTTAAATCCAAAATTAAGATGATTCTGGGTCCTTAAATCTATCTTAATTAGAAGTAAAAGTAGCCTGCATGTCTCACAGACCATGAACACACTAATGGATAGTGAATAAATATTTTTGAACACATCCAGTCGCCTTTCATGCAGTTTGAGAATCTTCAGGGAGGCATTCAGCAACGAGGGCATAGTTTTACCTATCTGTGCATATTAGAAGCAAAAAGCTTATCGTCATGCAAATATAAGTAGAGGAAAAAAGTTAACTTTAGACCTTCAACTCGCACTATTACAAATCGATATTAGCAAATATATAAACAAAATTTTGTCTAATTATTCAGTGAAAATTTCCACAGTGTATAAAAGAGAAAGGACTTGGCAAGTACCGAACGCCATGGATTGGCATTTAACATCACCCACAGGACCAATTAGATATTTAGACATTTGGCACTTCAAATACTCATTTGGCCTATTTTGAATAAATCGACTCCAAAAGACAATTGAATTAAGACATTTTTAATCCCCTTGCCTGTTAGCATTTGTTATGCTTTCTGCTAAAAAAATTAACCAAAATTTTCGTCATAAATAAACGAAATGGCAGTATCAAGTGCGCGCCGAAAAATAAACTAAAACTCGTAAATTTAGGCGGAACGATTCTAATTTATTGACAAGAAAAGCGCAAGTAGCAATTTATGTTAAACTACAAGGCAGCCATTTCAATGAGAAAGTGGAGAATTAATTCAATGATGATTTAGGGCTTAATGCCAATAGCAGAAGAGCATAAGAAGGAAAACGAGCGATCTGCGAGTTGAGTTAATTGGCACAATATGCAGGTTTAGCTTATATCTCACCAACTCTTGCGATAGGAAAAATGACATCACCTGATCGATTGTGGGTGTATGGTTGCTTACAAGCATGCAAACCAATACAACCCTACGCTCCAGCAATAAAAATGAAACCTAGCGCGAATTCCAACCAATTTTCCTTAAAGCTCATTTCGGCTGAATGGAATGGTTTTTTTTTCGAAAAATCTCAAGTCATAAAGTTCTTTATTACAAAGAGGTACCACCAAGCATAAAGCTCGCTACCTGGTAGAACGTTTTATTCCTTTCCTTCCATTCATCAGTCAAATCCCTCCAACAGATTAACTTCATTACTTAAGCGAATCCCAATGAAAACGAGCCTTTCAAAATGTCAATAATAATAATAACAATAAGAACAGTCAATTCTTGCCTTTACTGACTGCAATTATTAATGATGAAACATTCAAAAAAGCGCAGAGAGAAACAGCTGAGGAGGTTAGCTAATCAGCTGAAAAACATGATGAAATAAGGGCATAATTGCGTAAACAAGTTCAGAAATTCCTTTTTCATACGAGTAAAGGAAAACAGCAATGATTTCAATAAAACCTCCCAATTTATAGCATTTTATTATTCTTACAAACTTATCCAAATCCAAATGCACCTAGCTCGTCAGCAATCAAACGAAATTAGGACTGCTTTGTTGTAAATTCGGGCCTCTGATTATATTAAGGGAAATGAGTCAAGAACTAGGCCCTAACCAAAAGTACTGATAGAGGAAAATCGAAGTCTACCTGGGACCAAAATACATTGCCAAATTCAATGGGCAAAGGGGTAATAGAACGGAACACAATTTGGTCCATTAATTCTGCGAGTATGCCAATGACCAAATCGGTAACTGATTCATAAAAATAGATCAAAGCATGATAATACAGAGAATGCTCAATGTATTGACTAATAACAATCGGATTTAAGGCATTTCCGTGAGAATTTATCTGTGTTCAGAACTAACGCCAGTCAATTTCATTCTCGAGATGCATATAACCAAAATTGTTACAAAAAGAAACAAGACATTTGGACTCCTTAATTGTTGTTATACCACTCACCATTAGTATCATCTTCATTCTACAACTTTGGGTCTGAACTAGGGCAATAATCGTTATGGGTAAAACAAAACTATCTCAATTCTCATTAAGATACGACAATAGGGAAAGGTGGATGTTCTATAGTGAGGGCACAAATTTGCATTTGCTCCCATTACGTGGATGTCTAAATAGGCAGCCAGCAAAATTTGGACGGCTTTCGGCGTTTTAAATCATCATAGGTATAAACAACACCCACGGAAAGACTTTTTCCTAAGGCATACAACACCGCTAAAAAAGTAAGAATTGGCTCAGCACACAGTCACGTGTTAGCAATCTAAGTACAATCTTGCTGACTTTTCCAACAGCCAAAGTTAAGCTGAGTCATAAGCCAAAGAGAGGTATTGCTAATACATGCATTATATCGATGCAAGTAGCTCAAGCCGAGCAGAAACCAGCTAATCGATGAGTAAGAAACTGACTCAATCGAATTTTTGTAGGTGTGATAAAATGCCGGCAGCATTCAAAGACACACTGATTACCATACCTAATGTTCCTACACATTAACTACCAGCGTTAAGGTCCATTTCAATCTACGGATTGGGAAAAAATTTTGACACTGAGGTCAGACTATAAGACGTAGTGATGATCCTTTGTACCATCTAATATGAGAACGGCACCTTTACTAATCCACTATTAACTAGGTTAACAGCACCAGAACCCGACGATTTCGCCTCTAAGAAAGCCGATTTACTTTTGACTCTCGTTCATTAACCCGTATTGCCATAAAAAGATTACAAAATCCTCGTATAAAACACTGAACCTAGCTCTGGGTTTCTCCATGCTATCTTTAAGAGAAAGATATCCATTAACCTCAGATGTATAAATATAAATATACATTTTTTAAACCGTATTACTCAACGAAAAACGTTAAAGAGGCGTCTGAAACCCGCTCTCTCTCTCCCTGACTTAGACCAATTACGCTGATTAAAGTCGTCTTTTAGTATTGCAAGCCAATAGTTATTTCATCTAGCGGATTGCTAATCAATTTATTAATGAAATAAATTATGTAACAGAAACAGAATGTAGATGATATGAAATATAATACAGCCAACATTGACTACTATGAAATAGGGACCGGCGCAAAAAACTTAACTAACAACGAATACAAAAATATGAGATTAAGAATATTAACTCTACATGACTATAACCAGCTGTTCTCAGCTACTAGAAGGCACAAATGAGTTTAATCTACTGGTCAATCTACTGAGAACGTGAGATCACCCAAAATTCTATCATCCAAACATCCAGTTAAAAAAATTGAAAGTGCCTATCGATACTCTGACATGAATAAACTATTACACGGTCGCTCTCTACCTTCTATCCTTATCCCATGAATAACAGGTAGCAACGCTTACTTGAAACGTTCTCTGAGCGCATCCACCGACTTCGGAGTGTTTTGGAGGACTTGATGTAGTAGTTTTGTCGTTGGGTTTTGGCAGACTTCGATTTGGAAGAACTGACGTAAGATCCAGATCTCGTCGACGACGCATATCCTTCAAATTGGAACTATTGCCAACGTTTTGACCATGAACACCCTTCAGTAAAGACACAGAAAGCATAATTATGGGAACTGCTGAAATGCTTTGGTGTAAATCACTGTTTAAGTAGAAAACTTGACTATCGCTAGGGGGCATAAAGAGAAAAAAAGGACTCCATCTTTAAATTAAATACTGAAGGATCAATGGTTAAAATAACAAGAAGTAAATACCATACCCCAAATAAAGTAACTACTTTCGACATATATCTATTAGCAACGATGTTAGGTCAATTCGCAACTGAATGAAGTTGTTTATGTATCCCCTTATCGTTACTGCTTACTTAACGCTATCACAACAAAAATCCGTCACATTCGCTGTCTTCCTTTGAACCTGTTAGTGATGAAGTACAAATAATCACGGAAGCTAGATGATTGAATGCATTTAAAAAACAACGGCGTTAAATAAGAAAATGATTGATGAAGCTTCAAATTTTTACCGCAATTCAACATATCTCAAGTTAAAAAGTCACTTATTGATAGCACAAAATTTTCAAACGGATTTTCCCGGGCACTTATGGCCTTTTAAGAAACGGTGAAGAAACAGGTAACTCCGTATATAAAAAAGGCGATTAATGTAATTATTAAGCGAATCAAACCCATGGGATAAACTTCGAAATTTCAATAATTGATTGAAAATACCCTGCCGTTGATTCAGAAAATGGTTCAAGGTGAACGTTTTTAAGCCTTGTAATAGCTAATTAACGGATAAAAGAGATATAGATCTCTATAATATTATAACGGCTAAGTTTAAGGGACATGTTGACAGTTATGGTTACTATGCGTGCTCTAAAATATTTGGAGCCACAAAAAGCCACATAACAACAGTATTTGAATTAAAAACGATAGGAATGAACTCAATTGTGTAATGTGGTAGGTTCGAAAAGTGCAAAATATGCATATTTCCCAGAACTTGTTGCGGATGCCAATGTAAAAAGCATCAAACGTCAATCGTGTAAAAGCGCCTGAATGAGGGGAAATTTGAAGAATCACGCAACAAACTTATTCTATATTTGATTTTCGGAGAGATGAACTGTCCGCATTACTACAAGAAGTCTGGTATACTGTGGGTCAACATTTAGTAATTCTGTGGTTGATCATGCCAAGATTTACTTATAACTCCTTTCAATCAGGATCAGGTGGATGAAACCTTCAAGGACTTTTGGCTAAGCAGAGCCGCCTAGGTTTTCGAGAACTCAATGCCAGAAACTCTAAACTCAAATTATACTATTCTTCACCTCCTACAAGTGCACTTTACCTTATCAAGCCATCACAAGATCATTTCAAAACTTATTACATAATAAGTAAAGTAAATTTTGACGCTGAAATTAGAGATGGCAAATTACTGACATCGATATGAAGTAAGAGGGATGGAGGGGGAGCTTACCTTCGTAGAAGTGCGTTTCTCAGACGAGCCCTTCATAAACACTGGTTTTTCCTAAAAGAGAGGAACATACAAGTCAAATCAAGTGAGAAATGGAAAATCGACATCAAGAGACAAATAACTGCGAGGAAGAAAAAGGTAGGGGTACTTTACTTCAAAAGTAAAACATAACTTCACTTGAGTGGGTGCTTTAGAGTACATGCCCAGAGGGTCACATGTGCGCGTACACACAAAGAATACACGAGTTGCCAAGACAACACAAGCAGTAGCCGTTGTCTCCTTCCATTAAGTAAATAAGGTGCTCTATGAAAGGGTAACAATGCTGGTTTCGAGAACACTGTTCGTATTTTGAGCTAATACTTGCAATGTACAATGGAGTCAATGGTAATTAGTAATTAGCCATCCGATGATCTTAAAATGACCTTGTTATGTCTTTTGTTAAGGGTTTAAACTAATTACATACCAATTCGTCTTCGTTATCAAGCCACAGGAATTACGGTTGGAAATTCACCACTTCCCTTGCATACTTCCAAAGTGCCCTTCATCCACACAATTTTAAACCACCTAGCGATACGATAAATGTCTCTAGTCTCATTCACTACACGTACGGGATCACGCTCTGCCTCTTTCTACTCGACAGGCTATTGAAGTGGAGGAATGCAGAAGAGCAAACAGCAAAACATCCTGATCTAAAGCATGCTGGTTCCAATTCGTAGTTACTTCATCAGAGCTTAGTGACGGTAAATAAGGCATTTCGATTTATGAAGCTGCAGGGCCAGGGTATAAGCGTTGATAGTTATTGAAATGATAATGAGCCAGATGTCTAAGCGACCAAAGGGGAGGGGAGATAACCGCGAGGAGGCAAGGCATTTTTACTTAAAATCGTCTACCTTAACGCAAACAAAGTTAAATAAGTTTTAAAGAAAAGAGCCTTTAAACCTAATTGAAGGTACTTTTGCTGCTATGGTTCTTTCTTGTCCTATGCATAACTTGGAGCGAAATCTTAGCGAATCCCTATTCATCAAATGGATTAAATAGCAATGATGAAAAGTTAAAGGTGCCACAGGTCTTGGGAGCGTGTTTTAACTGAAAAGGTGGCACATTAAGGGGTAGGAAATGAAAATCCCCTAGTGTGGTAGTGAAAATCGTCAATACTGAGAAATGTTGAGGTTTTAAAAAAAACTAAAATAGAGCCTCGCCCACTTGGGTACTAGGAATTCCTAGTCATAAACACACCAGGCACTGGTAATAAAAAAAATTTGAGAAAAAAACAATGAAATAAAGATAAGAAGACCACTGGGCTTTAGTGGCACACCTCGATATACTAAGAAGTGTACAAAAGTTTGTACCAAAGATGCAATAATGACAATTGGAACAGAGCTTTAAATTAAATATTGACTGAGAGAGAAAAAAGCCTGTTGGAGGGGAGGGGGATTAAGTCTTAAGACCAAGATTTATATATGGCTTCAGCTATTTTAAGGAGTTATTCTATAACTTTCAAAAAATTCTAAGAATTGGTACCTGCAATCAGTTAATGATTTCTCACAGCAAAAGGTTTTGAGAATAAAAAGGAACCAAGAACGGCACGATCTCAAAAGAAATTCTGCATTTGAGATTCGAAACAATCAAATTTCACACTCCTTTCTTCTTATTAAATATAAATTGGCAACTACTGCAAGGGTATCCGACCATAAGGGGTATCCAAATGCCAAGATGAGGAGGATTTTGATTCGATGCAAAATCAAAGCAAGTATATTTGAGAGTTAGTAATTTTGCTAATCTTCAGCACGTTTGTCTGCACAATTGACAAAGAGAAATATAGCGTGATCATGTGGTAGAATTAAATCCAGCCAGTAAAAGAAGAACCGTATGGTATAGAAAGTATGTAAGAGCATTTAAAAAGTACATAACCGCTTAGATACACTCTCTGTCTCACCTCATAGTTCAGGATTTAGGAGAATGAACATGAAACTTACATCCAACCAGGTACGATAGACGAGAATGAGACATAAGTGGGCCTTGTAACGATCCAAAGGCAGAAGAGATGCATGATGCAGCACCGCGTGAACACAGTTGACATTCGCACGCGAATTGAATAGAATATCACGCACTCGACTTACCTAAAAAGCAAACAATCTGTCATAAAATCCTGTTGGTGATATTCGACTCACTAAAAGTGTTTTAAACGAAAGTGTTCAATTCACAAGTAATTTAAAAAGTGCAAATTGCAGTGATTAACAGTTCGTACAAGTCTTGAATACGAATCCTTATTTTTACCAAACCACCACATCCAGAACTGTTACCAATGGTCGATTATGTCTGTACCCCTTTCCCTGGACCTATTATGGATATACACGACGCAACAAAAGAGCACAACTTCCTATAACAGCTTTTGTGTTGACCCCCAACTACTTCATAACTCTGTCATAATTATCAACGAACAAGGGATGCAAAATCGATCAACTGCCGTATCAAAACTCATTTCGCCTAATCATAACAATTTAGATTGGCTTCGTCTGTCTCGCTCAATTCCTACTTCACATTCCTACCTATCCCTCTTGTTCATCTCCAATTGTTCAATACAAATTCGGACAACCTAAATCTCATTGTGGAAATGTTCTTGGTTGCTGTTACTCTAAGAAAGATCATTCGTTGTATTAGGGAATATAAACACCACTTCGTCCTAACTCCATACGTAGTTTCAATAGCCCTTAAAGAGCCACTTTAAATTACTCGTCAGATTTCGATTACAAGCTCTGGTTCTCAATTTACAAGTTTCTACTAATAAATCTCTCTATATCCCATTTTCCTAGTGAGGGTTAATAGCCTCAGAATAGTTTGGAGCTAAAATAAAATAGCTACCTGCAATTCTCCCCTAACAGCTTACCATTCTAGGAGAATACTCTAAAGAGAACTCTGGAATGTTGGGTAGAACAGGCTCAAGTAACACTGTTCGAGTGGGAGCCATAACTACGTGTTCGGCGAAGTATCCAGGCACAGTTTGGCGGATTTCAACTATCGGTAGAACATTCATGGAGGTAGCAGAATTGCGATACTGTTGTCTTTGAATTGAAGTAAGATTCGAGGCTTGAGGGTTTTGCTGAAGGGTCGAGGAATCAACAAAGGAGGGAGGGATTGGCGAGTCTAAGTGATAGATAAACAACTGAGTTTTATGACTAGAAAGATATATGAATGTTGCTGGTTCAAAGACAACTTACCAGCAGCCGTATGAACAATAGTTCTCCGGTCTTGACCTCCAACATTTGGCCTTTGGATCTCAGACTGACTGCATATATCAATACCTGAAGTGCTGCCCTCACTGGAATAGGGATTTCTCCCACTTCCAGGTTCGTTTCCCAAAAGACTTCGAAGATCACTAGTACTGGAAATTGAGCGCATCCGTGTCAAGAGAGCCCGGGGGCCAGTGTAGAGGAAATCCGTCAGCCACCGGACAGTCTCTTCTTGGTAAATCACAATACGATCAACAGAAAGTGTGAAAGCATCTGGGATGGGGGAGTAATCGGAGGGGTTTGATATTATGGAGGGCAATAAGCCATCGTCATAGATGCTGTACTTCGCAGATATTCTATCAAAGCAAAAAAAAGAAACAGTCTGGTAAAGAAAAAATCGTTTTATTGGAACCGATACGAATTCCAAAGTTCGCGAATTCTTCACATCTTTTATTGACACTTTCCGTCATGAAAAATGAAAATAAAAGCAATGTATGTCTCAAGATATCAACTAGGAAAGACATGTTTTCAGACAATACTGCAGAAATAATAAAGACAAAGTTATAAAATCGCAGCTATAATAGACCAACGACTATAGCTAACTTTGATTTAGCTGTATTTATTAAGAAACTAATGGAAAAGTACAAGGTCCCGGATACCAATTTCTTGCAGTTGATGCGTTTTGAGGTACACTTCCTTTCACAAAGTCTTTGCTAACTAAAATTGAAGTGCAAAGCGGAAGAGTCGTCAAAATCAATACCTAGTACAACAATAAACCCATAACTTTAAAAGAAGCCTTAACCAATAAAAAATTGTAGTAGCAGACAATACCAGAAAACTTAATAATATTAGATGATAGTTTGAATTTCCCATATAATACCTTTCAAAGAAATTATTTTGAGAAATGAGCCCGATGACTGCTTTGCAAATACTTTTAGCTGTCATTTAAATGCTCTAATTTAAGATTTTATCGATTTTAACTAGTTCTATTTCACATTATCCGCGAACATCCACTTTTTAACTACCCACACTTGAACCTAAGTTTTGCCTACTGTTTTTTTCTCCATATTATTTTCCATTGAAATATGAGTCTCATTACTAGTGAAAATGATAAAGGTGGGGAGGGATAGCTTAGGCTGTTTCACTCATCCTACATTAATGTGCTAAAAAATATTCTTTCAACCATTCAGCTCTACGCCAGTGCATTTTAATCGTGAGCACCAAACAAACCTACGCAAATTTATAAAAGAAAAAAGCGCAGAGAACTTACTTCGGAAAAATAGCAGGAAAGTAATACCTCTTGAGTTGTTCAAAGAGGAACCAAAAGCACATATGGCGTTTATCAAACGCTGTATTAGTCCACTGAATTTTATCCACTTCAGTAACGGAAAATCTTAGGAGATATCGCAGAAGAGCAAGATTCTTTTCCTTAAGAGAGGAGGCAATAAAAGAAAGTTTATTTAACCAAAACGTAAATATTACCATTTTAGTTGCATGCAAATCACCCTCAACACGAGAATATTTAACGGACGGAGAGGAGCAATTCAGGCATGCCAATAAACAACTCTTATCAGAAAAGTAACACACACCATGACACAACTTTCACGTATTAAAAAAGAAACAATTCAAAGTCTAAATACCTCATCTTTAGAATGGAGAGAAGTTGTAGAAGATAAAACGGGATCAGTCCGATGGTGAAAAATCATATTCCGAAGTCCTCTATGAGCATCTACATCAGGGCCGGTTGGAATTTGGGTGCCCGTTTTACCTAAGAGTAAAATCAGCCAAATGTACGATTACTATTTCGCGCTTTAAATGAATCATGTAATTGACCAACGTCAGGTACAAGATGAATGAATATGTCAGTACATTCGGAAATAGCGTTTTCTCCAAGTATTTGAAACCAGAGTATGAATATACGCATGCCAATAACTTGAACATCAATGGTATTAATCGAGGACAGCAGAGAATGCACAAGATCCACTGCAGAAAAAAATATGATACAAATTAGAGCATTACAAATGGAATTCAATTGCCACTGCGCATTGAAACGTTCTGGGAGATAAATTAAGAGCTTCTATTAAGATATAATAAGGGGAAAGGCTTAACATTACCTCAAGAATTAGGAGCTGAAGTTCGCATTCTTTAAATGTCAATGTAGAAACTAATAAGGAAATTAAGTCTGAAGTTAAACCTACGTCTAGGTCTGATTTCAATATCAAAATAATCGAAAAAATTATGAAAAATTTCGGAATGATGTTGATCAAAAAATTGCTGGATTTCATTATTTGACAGATTATCTGAAAGATGATGTGAATTTGAAATTAAAAAATTACCACACAGGAGTTTTAAATGCTTTAATTTCTTTGCTAATTCTCGATGGGATAGAAACTTTCTCTTGGAATTTTCCTCAGCAAAACCTTGCTTCTTATTCCTACGAAACATTCCGTTCGAAACATTGGACAATTGCACTATTAATTCAAACAATGAAACATTCAACTATCAATTGAAGTCGTTTGATTTATTTAGAAAAGAAATTGAATAAATCCAGAATGGCACTTTTGATTAATATATTTAATGTATATTTTGTGTCTTCATTGTTCTGTTGATTAATAATGAGATTTTTTAATTTTTACAAGTTTCATTTAAAGTGCATAAAAAATAAGCAATATTAACTCATATAAATTACTTTCTTATAAAAATTAATTATTTTAAGCTTTATGTACTTTACTGATCATGCTAGTTTTTGCTATGCAAATGACTATTTATCCATATTAAAGCGCAGAATTGTTTTCCACTAAGTAACTAGAATATATTAGTAATTCAGCACAATTAGGAATTGCTGTTTTTTTATTAACCTGGTTCTTGAACTATTTTGGTACCAACTCTTGCTATGTTTCCCAGCATATGTGTGTCTTTAATCTGATTATTATTGAATCATTTCTAACTTAACCTTTCCCGTGGTGACATGAACTGCCGTTACTATTGCGCTGTCTGATGCTGCTTTTCAATGATTGATTCTGAAGTCAAGTAGCGCAGCACTACTAATTACATTTTATTTTTCCTGTTTAAAGTTAGGCCGTACTGCATCGTTGTAATAGGTAGCACAGCTCAATCTTTCCTTATTACCCTATTGGTAACTTAGACTCCGAAAGATGTAGGAATAGGACAGACTAACTCTAACTCAATAAGTTTTAGTGGTTTAAAATAGACCATGTATATCAATAGTCTATGTATTTTTGTGTTGAAAGCAAAATACTGTACCGATAGTATTTTTGTAGCAGTAGTTGTCAATTTGTGTGCAAGCCAGTATGGCTTATGAGTGACTTAGAAGCAACCTACACGTAAATCAACCCCAAAGACCAAGCATAAACGCTTCAAATTTGAGGTTTGTTTTGACATCTTCCTGTCAATAAACAGAATCTGAGGTTATTATTTTTCAATAGTATGGAAAGTGCTAAAAACCGATAAGTACTATTTCACCTGAAATATTTAACTTGCATGTAAATTTGAATAAAATGATTTTTTTGTTATCATTTATTACTTGTTAAAAATATCAATGATTATTTTGTTTGAATGAACATATTTAATTGGATTCGAACCTTCAGCTACATTGCTCTTTTCGAATGCTTTAAGTTCTAAAATGTGCTAATTACATCACACTTTACAATCGATGAACGCAAAACTATGATTCTTTATATGCTTAGATAAGAAATCATCCCATCCATTAGCTTTTAGATAATTTGCATAAAGAGTAGTCTAGTGGGTGGTCATTAGTCGCACAATAAACATTTGGAACAAATTTGAGAGATAAACCTAGATAAATTTGCTTTACATTGAGAACTATCAGAGTAATTTACGATTTCATTACTTCTATCAAGTAATGAAAATATTATGGTCTCTTGAACCTTAATACGATGCAAGCTCAATCAATGAACACTCGTTGCTTCGACGAACTGCTTCGGTATTGGGTTGGCATGTCACATTTACTTTGTTTACACATACTGAAAGTTCTTATGAATTAATATATTCCTATGAGACTTTAAGGAGGAAGCACAGACAAAGTAATAATTAAGGTATATTAGTTGAAATTTAAACTGCCTATTTGTCTTGTTTTGTCAATTATTGTTAGAACTTTCAAAAATCTGTTGCATTTTCTCAAAATATTGAACCCAATCTCAAATGAATTCCAACAAGAAAGGAAAGAAATAAGCGCTCCGAAAACAGCGAAAACTTTGAGTATTTATTTTGGATTTTGCTAAACATTATGTCAGAATATCTTTCAAATCCTCTCATGAATTAGATCTAATAACATTAACATTCTATTTTAAAGGTTAGAGTTGGCAAACTTAAAACTCTAAGGTATGTATGCATGTATATATACTCGATTCCACTGGATGCCTTCAAGTTGATTTAAGACTGTATATTGCCTCCAGCGTGATACGCGTGATGTAAAGCTAGAAACTTAACTTGATGTTTTTACGATTAACACACCACAATAAAAAAATAATTGCGACTTCTACGCACAGAGCACAACCAAAAATTCTTATTCTCAATAAAAAGGAGCTAATATTACTATTATTATTATTATTCATTTTCTGTGTTTGTTATTAATCCATGACATTATAAATTTTCAGGTCGTGTGTAGGAGGTGATGTGTTGGCACATAGAGCAATTATCCTCACAAATAATGCCAAGTTCACTATGTTTGACCAAGTGAAACGCTGAGTTATCTCTTTTAAACCACTTATCTTAAGAGCCAACAGAATACCATGACTATTTTCAAAGTCATAAGAACAAGGCACTGATATGTTGATTAGAACGATTATAAGGAAAAAAATGAATAGCGAGGAATGAATGAGTAATAGGCCCTTCGGTGTTGGTTGACACATTATATTTTAAAACAAGGTGAAATCGAAATGAGTCATTTTGACATTATCTATGCTTCAGTCGTATAAAACTTTCAAGCAAATTATTCGTTGTGCTAATAACGTAGCCTCCGTGCTTGTTCTACAGATTCTCAGAATTTCCCATCCACATTCTCCTCGACAGATAACATTTGATAAATATATTTTGGAAATGGATTTTAATCAGGGAACGAGTATTATTGGCTTCGAAATCTCGATTTCATTTTGATTCATAAAGTGCATTCGGTGTAGAATTCTCTATGTAGCAGCTAATAAAAATTGTATACTTTATACAGCTAAACTGATATGATTTTCTTTCCTGATGGTTAGAATACCTAAAAGACGAACGGGTAATTTCATCGATCTCATTCTAATGGTTGTCATTTCTTAGTCACCAACGGGAAGACTGTACTTTAGACAAAGAAACTTCATTTGGTACCACTTGGTAGCCTGCTCATAAAATGTGACGTTAAGATAATTAAAGTGCGATCGATTTTAAGAAATTAACAAATTAAAAATACTAAAACTCTCCTAAATCTATCACTAAACTAGCCAATTTTTTAATAATCTTTCATAATACCTGCTTATGATTGTTTTTGCCCTGTGCGAAACATATTCGTCAATTACAGAGCCCTGCGCACTTAAACTTCAATTTATCAAATAGTACTTTAGGATAAGTTTGCTTTGAGACTTCTTTCTAACCTTAATCGTCTAATTTCGTAGCATTACAATTTGAACTATTTTATAACACTCAGCTACCACTTAATAATGACAAAATTAACCCACCTTATACCCATAGATCAAATTGCAAAAGTCGACAGGGGGGAACAGAAGAGTGTTTCAAAGATGTAGGAGACAAACACAAAGGTGGAACAAAGGTGAGGTGAGTAATGTGAAAATATTCGAATATGGCATCGAATGAGGTGATGGTAGTTTGAAGTGAGAAGTCAACTGCCAGTTAATAGACTTTTTTGCCGTATGAGTATACGTTGCCCAGGGTGCACCACGTGGAGGTAAGTCTATCGTACACCCCGTATAAATTGATATTACTTAGTATAAAAAATTTTATATTACAAATAAGGAGTGCGATATAATCTCTCTCTTATCTTTATCTATTTTATCTCTACTTCGGCCTGTAGTGAGTTGTTACACGAATAAGCCTTCGCTTACCCTCAGTAATATCTATAGCGTGATCCCCAAAACAAAATGGTACAAACACGTATACCGTGGAACACGTTTATTTTGGTTGTGTGTCGCTGACACGGAGCTTAACCATAAAATAGAATTTTACATACTCTCACCAGCCGTGACTATTAATTGTTGATTTGCTGAGAGGTCTTTGCATTCACCGCCACACACGATCAACAGCACGACCACACCTGATGGCTATCTAATAGGTAGCACCCTCTCGTTTCAGCATTTTCTAGATCGCATGGGATTCTTTGGTTTAACCGTGTGCGTGCTGGACATTGCAAGTTTTTCAATCAAACTCAAAACGTATGCTTTATGTTTAAGGACGGAAGTCATAAGCTTACCTTCTCCTCTCTTATATGAAGAATGAGCTTCTGAAATGTATGCATCATCAAGCCCACATTTTAGCTTTTACTGTGAGCATAGGACAAACTTGCAAACTTCGCAACAAATAACCTGGAATAGACAGGTTGTTCGTAGAATGAGACGAGTTTGTGAAGTGAATGAGTAAAGAAGTATTAGAGTGTAAAATGATGTTAGGATACGAATATCATGCCTCAATGGTTACTACTCTCTCAAGCAGTTTTGGACCTCGTAGTTGAGTACATATAAAGTGTAAGCTTCCCATTGGTCAAATCTACGTACCGATAATAGCATCAGCATTGGCTTAGCCTACTTCCGATCCCTTAGTAGTTTGGAGGCTTAAAAAAGTGGTTATGTGAATTTAGCTAGTGCAACTACGTCTGGCTTCCTCCATATCACCAGATATATGCCAAAGCCTGTAGCCAATTCGTTTTTCTTATACCAAATTCGAATATACTAACATGTGGTCAGGTTTCATAATGCAGCTAAAATTAACTATTTTAGCTAAAATGATAATGAAAGAGGGATTGAATTAGTTCAGTTTATGGCGAATGTAATAGGAATTCTCTCTTATTTATCAGTGAAATCCAATATTTTACTTAGAAGCATGTTAGTTTAATCGAAACAATCAGCATACGAAAATTTTCGGAATTTGCCAAAACTAAATTTATATTTGCTTTGATCTGTCCTAACTGAGCCAATAAAACTGCTTAATTATTACATATTACTTACCATACAAAAGTTTGACCTTTCGTAGGCGGAGAATGGTAATAATTATTAAAATTATTATCGGTTTTTCGGACACAAATATGTAAGTGTTGAGATCTCACTTACAAAACAAAGGCTTCTGTCAAAAGGAATCACTTGCTTGAGAGCTTGTCTACGAAATGGAAGGATGGAATTGTCGTGATGTTTCTGTCTCACTCATTACCACTGTTTCTTATTCACCAACTAAAATTTGCTCCTCGTCTCTGGTTGTACCGG